CACCTGGCCGCCCCCCAATGAGATGCCACCTGAGGCAACAACCTCAAAGCTGCCTAATTATAGGGGCAGCCCTGAGTACAAAGTATATAGGTAAAGCATACACTGGAAAAAACATTTTTCTGGATTTTTGTTCCATTTTCTAATAGTTAATAGGATGAAATCGACAATTGTTTCGACTGTAGTGACAAAAAAAATTGAAGAATGGAAGGATGGAAATTTTTTCTTGAACAACAAATTTCTAACAGCGAATGTGGTTTTCATTTAAGAAACTCCATTTCATGCCAGAATCAAATGTTAAAATCAAGTGAAATTTTTAACAACATTTGTCAAGTCTGGCATAGATGGCATTATCTTATGGCCTGATAAGATTTTTCACATGGAGGAAAGTACAAAAATCTACCAGTGTATGGCCAGCTTTCAGGTGGATGTTCCAGCCTCACTTGATGAATGAGAAAGAAAACTTGATTTTCTTACTAAAAAAAAACCTTTATTTCTCTTTCTTTTCACAATAGGTTTTGTAACCTTAATGCAGGGTTTGACATCACAACTTTTACTATGTACATAGACAAATTGGCATCGTCCATAGAAAAATTAGCATTGGCAAGTGTAGTGCAGGTTTACTTTCACTCACAAATAACAATTATTATAACCACCAAGAATGCAGTATCCCAGTCGGGATCAACTTGCTACATACATAGGGCCTAAATTGCGGTCTCCAAAATATCCAAAGTGCTGCACAAGTGCATCTGTACTTAAATTATAGATGTGATGTATTATTGTGTAATCCTAAAGTATACCTGGCTATCACCATAATTAGCCAAATCTGTTGCTGAAATTGAGATGTGAGGGTATTGGGACACTCTAGCATAATCCAACTACCCTCAGGCAAAGCACTTAGCTGTTGGTTGCATAAACATGGACATCTGTCATGGTTGAGGGAAGCCCCCATACCTGGTACTCAATGTCTTTCAAATCCTTGACACAGCTCTACAGTGTATTGGAGCTCTGCCCCCCTACCCTGGTATCCCACAATCCAATCAAGCTCTTCAGTGGCTAACTAAAAGACAACTAAACATTTTTGAAGTATGCCTATGTCTTGTAGGCAGCACTGAATACAAACGTGGAGCAGAAACCGAGGCCAGTTTACAGTATAGCCAAAGTTTGAGGGATGTAGAAAAGACCTGTTGCTAAGATATGTGCCACCGGTGTCTTATTATTTGTGGCTGTATTATTTTTTCTGTTTGAATATTTTTATTAAAGTTTTGCAGAAAATATACATAGAAAAGTGGTTCACGTTGCTGCAATATAGCAGAGCATCAGAAAAACAATAGCAACATATCGAATGTAACAACATAGTAAATGAATAAGAGATCTTAGAGCCGCTACGTGTCTCATCCTTGATCGTGTATCGAAAATCATCAATTTTCTCAGCAGCATAGTTAAACAGACTGAACCAGGTAAAGGATATTAAAAAGGAATAGGGGAGAGGCCCCATAGAAAGAGAAGAATGAAGAGAGGGTAGAAGAAACTTGAAAAGAATAATAGTATCAGGTATACCAATACTCCTAGTGGGGAAGGCTGTATTATTTTTTCAATGTTTGATGTCATGTCAGGTCCACTTAAAAGTATGACATATGTAGATACAAAATTATTTTGCATGTCGGGTTCAGGAGAGCAGATCATTTATATAGAAATAGAATCCATACTCTTGGCTGCAGAAACAGACAAAAAGGTT